AGATGAGATTCCCCAGCAATGCTCTGCTGATGTAACCTTCCCGGGATGCAATGCTTCAAGGTGGGCTTGACAACAGGAGAAATTGAGCAAGGACTTCCATGACCTTGGACATTTTACAATATAGACAAATTGCAATGGCCTGTGACAGTCTATCAGAATACACACAGCACATATTTAATCAACAGAAGTGTAAAACTGCCCTATGGTAGAAACGGACCTGATTCAACATATATATGATCATATGGTCACATGACTGCGTAAATAACTGGTGTGATCATGGACCTGACCTAAGAATGTTTTCATTCAGGGTTTTTTCTGCAAGGTCATTTCCGAATTGTGTGCAGTACATGTAACTTGGCTGACAGATGTGTCAGAAAATATTCTCCAATAATATTTCTGATCATGTTTCAGATCCAGTTAGAAGCTCCCAGCAGAGAGATCAGGAATTTGAACAAAATGTGATCAGTTTACTGGAACTATATGTGACCTTCCTAGAAGCTTTCAGTGCATTTCTTTTTCTCGTTCTTCTTAAGAGAAAGAAGAGTTCTTCTTTCTCTTACTAATCTACTCAGCCTGGAAGGTACCGTGACTTCTGAGAGGCTGTATGGCTGCTTTTTAGCACATGGCATTTCTAGAAAAATTAAGCTATTTCACAAAAGATAATGTCAGCGTTCTTCCTTTCTTGAGATCTAAATCTTGCAATGAAAAGCACGGCCCAAACAGCTTTGCAGAAATGTCCAAATCTATTAATACTTGCATTTCATAATCCCAAACTATGCACAGGCTTAACAGCTAAACCAGGGGCGAGGACACTCACCAAAGGAGAAAGACACTAAATATATTAACAAAAAAAAAAAAAAATGCCCATGTGTCAAAACTGACTGAAAACAATTGTCAGGAAAACCAGTTGTGGCTTTTTCAATTGCACAGCAAAGATAATTTACCATATGGAGAGTCTTTGCAGTACAGTAGTATATGAAACAAAATGCTGCAGTAACCAGCAAAAAAACAAAACATTTGACATTAAAGGACACATTTCACGCTTGAAATGCATGCAGTTTTCTACATTAAAGCAGCCATTTGAAAGGCCCATTCACACTGTAGTGTCATGCTAAATGCATGGGTTCCGTGAGTTTAGCACACATTAATGCACAGCACACGGTACCACGCGCTATGGGCACCAGTGCATTGCATTGCCATTCATTCTTAATGGCACCCTAATGAACTTCCCGGCAGGCGTGTGTTGCAGCGCTTCTCAATGTGTGCTGCTGTGTGGTGAACAGAGTAAGGCATGTGTTACTTTTTTTCACCACATGATAATGTACATTCTTGCACTACTGAGCGAAGGTGCAACTCATACCTACCGGCACCACCTTGAGAATCAATGGCAATGCACCAGTGCTCCTAGCGTGCGTTGCCATGTGCTGTGCACTAAACTAACGGATCCTGTGCATTCAGCACGGCGCTGCAGTGTGATTGGCAGCACACCTTAATGCATAAAATACATATCTGCAACATAATGCACCACAACCACAGTATGTGCAGCTACTGTATGTATGCTGTAGGGTTCCATTCTACATGAATGGCACTGCAATCCACATAAGGTGTCTTGCTGTAAGAGGACCCATGAACACCTCTGGGTTTTTCCTTTGTTGTGTTGCATTTTACATGTGACAAATCCTCTTGCTGCAAAACTACATCAAAATATGCAAGCAAATCAGATTTTTACGATAAGCAGTACACTAAATGCAGGACATGTAGACTATGCCTAGCTAACAGTGTTTTCCTACACCTAGAGGCTGGGTGCCACACTGACATTGTGGTGAACATTTTACGTGAAGTAAAAGTGGAGCCTATTAACAACATCCAACCAGCTTTTATCTCTCACAACAAACAAGAATATTGACTCCTATTGCTCTGCTTTCTATTGCTCTGCTTTCCTTTGTTCCCATTTTCATAACTAGGCTCCATGTTAGCTTTAGGGTCAATGAAAACCTCTAAGAACAATTGCAGTTTAAAAGTAGATTATCCTAAGTCCAAAAAACAAATCATGCTTTTACATATGGTAACTGTTGGTTTGTTTGCTCCTCTTGAATATTTTCGTGTAAATCACATCAGATGGCAAATCTCCAAAGAAGAGATTTTTGCTGCCGGTTTATGCTAAGAGGTGCGAAATGTTCAAAAGGATCTTAATTGTGCGAATAGACAATGCTTACAAGGCTTCCAAATTTTGTAAGGTGCTTTAATTTGTGGCTAGGCAAAACATGACATAGCTGTGCAATAATTAGACAAGATAACTCGGCATGGAAAATTAGTAGGATCACACAAAGAACGCAACTTTTCGAAGAGACGTACTAGGAAAACAAACGACTGTCTTAAATGTCAACAGTGGACGGAAAATGTAGGCAAGAGGTTTAAGGAACACAACGAACATGCATGTGGGATGGGGGTGGTGTGGAAAGTAGTGGAACCTAATCTAATAGCACAGCAGTATGCACGACTGTTATGTGACTTCCCATTGTGTGTAAGCAGCCAGTATTGTGTGACATGATGAAATGTACAACTGCCACAGGAAAACCAAGCCAGGGCATCAGAAGAAGTCTGAATCATGATTACCAATGACCTTCAAATATAAAAATTCAACCTTGTTTATTAGTGAATTCTTATAATTTCCTGAAGTTGCTGGAGAACTCAGTTATCACAAAAACATAATTCTTCTTCCTTGGTCTCAGATTCATACATGACTGTTCCCTTTGTGAAAGGTGAATTATGGAATGAATTATTCTAGCAAATTGAAACCCCCCCCCCCAAACTGACTGACCAGCAGCAGATACCGGAAGGAAGCAAACAATATCTAAAACTTGATTCAGAGTTCCATCTTAAAGACACTCGACTATAAAGGACTTTTTGGAATAGGGTAAAAACAATCAAAAGGTCTACAGCAGTAGCGAATGGTCTGCATGGGGCCCTGTACAAAATCATTTTAGAGCCCCCATTGATCTACTAACCAGGTAATAAATACTTAAAGGGTTATTAAACTCTCCATTTTGTTTTGCATATATCTACTGCTAGCAAGCAGTAGAAATATGCAAAAAGTAAAAACAAAACCCCGCTATAACACGGTTTAAACTTAACTGTGTATTCCCCGCGCGCTCCCGTCCGAAAATGTGAAACTGCTCGGGCGGCTGCAAAGCATCTTGGGGAGGGCGCATTTCACATTTTCGGCCGGGACATGAGGAGAGACACAAGGTAAGTCTATGGACGAGTGCACCCGCATGCAGACACCGTGGGACAGGAAGTGCCAGCAAGCTCAGAGGAGTCAGCGCTGGATCGGAGACCCGCCGCAGCACTGGACAGAAGGCTAAAAACTACAGGAAAGAAGATCGGATTAAAAAGACATAATTTAAGGGAAGTGCTTTACTGAACGTTGGGGTGAGGGAAACATTGTTTTGCCTTTAATGTCACTTTAATTACGGTGTATTGATTGAGAGCTGGATAGATGTGAGCAGAAGTCAGGTCTATGTGATAAATGGAGGGGGTTCTAGTAGTCATCTGATTCACATCGAATATAAAATGGACCCCACGTTCCTCTGTGGGATACAGGATGAGGCTGGTCTGGGGAGAAGCAATCAGACCAGGTGGAAAGCCTTGTCTTACGTCAATCTGCTCCTGGCACTGGAGGTATGTACAGCACACTTCCTTATAGCCTTACTATGAATGGACACACAATGCCATCATTCATCTATAGCTGTATACTTTGTACCTGGGAAACTGGAGCTGTCAACTTCTTTTTTATCTGTCATCTCATCTGTGTAGGAGTCACATCTTGATACAAAAATAATTTCCCTCCTGACTATACAGGGTGCCCCAAAAATCTAGATCCATGGACAAAAATGTATTTGAAAGTTTCCAAGAACATTTCTCAATGTAGTGGAATGGATGTTTTCCTACTGGAATGAGATTTCTACTTCAGGGCTTGTTCACACCATTTTCTGGTCCAGATCTGCAGACGCAGTGCGTTTTTACCACGTTCCAATTAAAAAATATATATATATATTTTTTGGGAGTGGGACTGTCAATGTCAGCTGCAATGCATTTTCGTTGCGTTTGACACGTTCATGTGTTTCCAGAACGGACAAAATGGTGACATGCAGTATTTTCTCTGTCGGACTGCGCACGTGAGAACTGTAGCCCATAAAACACATAGGGATACATTTTGGGTGCAGGAGCGCACGGTTCTGGTCCAGACACAATCTGGACATCGTGTGAACAAGCCCTCAGTGCAATGATTGTCCTGGGGCTGATTCTGATAGACTACAGATTTCAGATGATCCCGAACAGAAAATTGGAGCGGTGTTAGATCTGAAGACCTAGGAGGCCATTCAACTGGACTTCACCTTCCCATCTGACTGGTGAAGTTCCATTTAAAAAAAATCCTCAGCAAAAGCAAAGTGTGGTGAGACAACGTCTTACTGAAATCACAATATATGACGTTCCAACAAAGGGACTATTGTAACATACAGAGGGGAGTGTCCCCTGTTATATTAGAATCAACAAATATGACCCAATTCATCCGTCACCAAATATCTCACCCACAGACCATCATTCATGGATCAATTCAAAAACAGCCTTTAGCCATCCAGTGTGGGTTGTTGTCAGACCGGTAAAGAGCATTGTGTCGGATGACACCACCATACAGATGAATTGAGGCTTCATCACCATTCATTTCCAGTGTAAGAACCGCTCACAATATTCTGTATGTCATTCTTGTGTCATCACCATACAGCTCCTGGACCAGCTGCACTATATACGGATGGAAATTTTTATTTCTAATCGATACCTATGAATCCAGACTCTGGGACACCCTGTATGTATACATGCACATGTGTTTGCATGCATGTGTAAAGTTAGTGAAGCCCCCCCTGCTCCTCCAGTGTAATAGGACACAGCCCCCCATGTCAGCTGTAACCTTGAGCCGGACACGGCGCGGCTCCCCTTACCATGGCGAATCCGGAGAGCAGAGCCGATGTGCGGCTGGAGGCTTTGAGCTTGGCCCGGCTCAGGTAGAGCTTCCTCCAGGACAGCGCCTGCATCGAGTGCTCGTTCAGACTCATGAGCTCCACGTAACTCCGGCTAATCCACTCCGGGTAGGACAGCTCCTCCTCCTTCACCTCCTGCTGCTGGGAGCGCGGGCGGGATTTCTGTGCCTCCGCAATGCGCTCCGGGAACATTTGCCCGTCGCCTAGAACTGCGTGACCCCCCTCCTCATCTTCCAGGCCGGGAACCGTCAGACTCCTGAGGTAGACAGTGAGCTACGAAGGCAGCGCAGGCTCTGAGCGAAAGAGGGCGTCACCCACTCTTTCCCACAATTACTACAGCCGCTTCTAATATCCGCCAACCAGAGAGTCTGTTTGTTTTACTTCCGCCAACCATATAAACCTGTTTTTTTTAACTATTTCCGCCAGCCGTGTGCGTTGGGTGATCAGCTGATCTCCACCCTCAGTCGGGGCGTGATTCTTGTCACCGTACTTCCGCCAACCAGCTGTTGACCTTTATTTATTTCCGCTAACCAAACAACCTGAACATGTAACCTGTGGGTCTTTGAAGTATAGTTATAGCCAAGCTGTATAACGTCTGCCAGTTTTTTTTTTAGTTTTGGCACAAGTGAGCAAGCATTAGAACCATCGCCAGGTTTTATTGCTGTCTAAACCCTAGTTAGAGAGCCTCTCCCTTACTTTTTGTGGTGGTGACCAATGACACTGGGACAGAAAAAGACAACCAGTGTACAAATACATGTGCAACTTACACAATGTACAGACAACAGAATGATAAATACAGCAGTCATAGCAATATGTGGGTAACTCACAGGCCCGTCTTTAATACTGATCGGACCCTGGGCAAACATTTTCTTGCCGCACACATAGATCATAGACTTCTCTCAAAAAACTTTGACTGCAGGATTTCAAACCAATTGCAAGCTCAGCCGTTTATATTAGGGATGCACCGATATATCGGCCGCCGAAACATATCGGCCATAAATGCCACTTTTGGCATCATGTCTCCAGGGTCTCAGGATGACTCTCAGGTGGTCAGTGCGGGGATCTCTGGTGGTCGGTGCGGTATTTAGTCAGACTCAGGACATTCCAACATACAGTGCATTACAAAAATCATGCATTTTATCGAATATGGGAGATTTGCTGTTCTCTGCAAAGGCTTCCCCTACCCCAGCGTCAGGCCCTTCTTCAACCTTGGGCACCAGCTGCTTGGTACTCCTGTGATCAGAGGCGGCTCTAGAGTTTGTGAGGCCTTAGGCGAAACCTAAACATGAGGCCCCACTCAGGCCTGTGGGGTCTCACCAGGTCTCTGTGGGGTTTAACCAGGCTGGTGAGACCCCCAGAGAGTCCTGGTGAGACCCCCAAAGAGCCCTCGTTAAACTAGGGCTCTGTGGGGTCTCACCAGGGCTCTGTGGGGTCTCACCAGTCCTGGTGAAACCCCACAGAGCCCTGGTAAGACCATACAAAGCCCCGGTATAACCAGGAGAGCCCTGGTGGGGTCTCACCAGGACTCTGTGGGGACTGGTTAGACACCACAGAGCCTGGTAAAACCCCACTGAGCCCTGGTTAAACCAGGGCTCTCTAGGGTCTCACCAGGGCTCTAACCAGCTTGGTTAGACCACACAGAGCCCTGGTGAGATCCCAAAGAGCCCTGGTGAGATTAGGGTTGCCACCTGTCCAGGATTCACCCGGACAGTTCGGGTTTTGAATGCTGTGTCCAGGTTTCATGGCAGTAGAAACCCGGACACAAGATGTCAGGCAGATAGGGGCAACCAAAATTAAGATAGGGGGCTACTGGCCCCTTACTAAAATAGTCTCAATTGTGATAGTTACATATGAATGGGTGGCGCTATTACATATGAATAAGCCACCACTTATTCTCCCAAAAAAGTGTTTGGGTTTCACATGAAGAAAAGGTGGCAACCCTAGGTGAGATCCCAAAGAGCCCTGGTTAAACCAGGTCCCAACAGGGCTCTGTGGGGTTTAACTAGGGCTCTGTAGGGTATCACCAGCACCAGGGTTATGTAGGGTCTTACCTGGGCTATGTGGGGACTCAACAGCCTGGTTAGACCCCTAAGAGCCCTGGTGAGACCCCACAGGGCTCTGTGAGGGCTCACCAGGGCTCTGTGGGGACTGGTTAGACCACACAAAGCCTGGTAAAACCCCATAAAGCCTTTGTTAAGCCAGGGCTCTGTAGGGTCTCACCATGGCTCTGTAGGGTCTCGCCAGGGCTCTGTAGGGTCTAACCAGCTTGGTTAGACCCCACAGGGCCCTGGTGAGATCCCAAAGAGCCCTGGTGAAATCCCAAAGAGCCCTTCAGAGGCTCTATTTGCAGGAAGGGTTTTTTTTCTGTGCTGATTCTACGGTACGACCGCGGCAGGCAGCGGGCTCAAGGGGCAGCTGCTTCGGGCCCCACAACCATGACAGGGCCCGGGGCAAGTGCCCTCTTTGCCCTGCGTTAAAGACGGCCCTGGTAACTCACTAGAAATCTTGACAAAACTTGGCAACAATCTGGCAATCATGACAATGGCAACCATCAGGCAATATGTGGGAAACATGTAGTCACAGTCACATCAATACATGGCCAATCAGCAATACTCAAGTCACAAAAAGCAAATTGTGACAATTCTTTGACAACAAACTGACACTCTTGAGAATGTGTTCGTAACAAACAAGCAAACATGGCAATATGCGTGAAACAAACGGGTAACTGAGACGATACATGGGCATCATACCAGCAACTGTGGTGATTTATAGAAGGCTGACAACCAGGACATATAATTGATTCTATATTATCCACAAAGGGTTAACAGCACTCTCTCAACCCTGCAGCAGTGCCTGTACCTGCTCCCAATCGTAGTCTATGTCCTTCCTCTCTGTGCAGCAAGTAGAGTCTTCCTTCTGAGAACCGAGCCTCGTTCTGAGGCTACTCTAGAGATCACATGACCTTCCTCCAGGAGGCAAGCCTCGTTCTGAGGCTACTCTAGAGATCACACGACCTTCCTCCAGGAGGCAAGCCTCACTCTGAAACTTTACCCACTGATATCTTATCGGAAAGGTTTACTCAGAGTAAACCTTTCAGGGAGAAAATGTCTCTCTCGCGGACATCAGGGAGCCGCTATCTAATAGAGGGAGACTCCCTGAACATCAGGGAGACTTGAGATCCCTGCAAAAAGGTCATTTGTGACAATACACTGGCAACAAACTGGCAATCATAACAATACTTAGGCAACAAAGCAGTCTCAGTTCTAGCAGCTTATTGCTAGGCCTCAGCACTGTCAAATGACAGGTATTTTGGTCTTGGTGGTGATGTTGGAAGGATTGGGGGGCACTTCATCAATATTCTAAAAATGCATCTCTTTATATCCCAGCTTTAGATGAAACCTATTGTTCTGTTTCTCTTTTTTCCTAAAGCCAATTTAGAACTACAAAGTTATAATGGTTTGTTCACTTTCGGTAGTCTTTTACATGGAGAGGCGCATTAACTCTTGAACTTATTTTCTTCATAATACTGTGCACGAGGCATACGCCATTTAGAAGATCTCTTGTTGATGGGGGCTAGAATAAAAACCCACATTTCCGGCGGGCCCCCAGTCTCTGCGCCGGGAGTGTCGGATCATCCGTTCATCTGACACTCCCGGCGCAGAGATGGGGGGCCCACCGGCCGCTGATCCGGTGCTATCCGGCGGCCGGAAAGTCCCACCATCTATGCACAGGGACTGTGCTGGGCCTCCCCAGACTGAGGCCGGTGCTAGGCCTTGCACTTCCGGGGGCCTCGCGCCCGACCGACTCGCAAGTGAGGACAGCGGGGACATACGATATCCCTGCCCCCCTCTCCATTCTACAGACAGTTCAGACAGGAGGCTGGGCAGATGTGACTGAAGAAGGGGGGGTGATAAGGGACAGGGGGACGATGTGATCAAAAGGGTTGGCTGAGGAGATGTAATATTTGAAAACAAAAGTCACCACCCTCCAGAAGGAAGGACAGTGTCAGCACCATTTCAGAGATGATTTGAGGATCTACAGCCGCGTGATACACTAATAAGATACATTTATGTTAAAAGATAAGGTATTTGAATGCATTTTTCAGATTTAACTCTTGAGTTTAGTGTCACTTTAAAGGGTAAGTGTACTTTCAAACAAAATACACTTACCTACCCTTGGTGACATAAAGTAACACCTCCCACCAGCAGCTTAGTTATCTGATTAGGGCACCCATGCCGTGCCCCTACGTTTACTCCATCTGGGCCAAAACCTTCTTCACCACTGATTGTGTCTGTGCATTGAGCCTTTATATGCATGTATAGCGCCATCTCCTGAGAATGTTAGTTTACGTCAGGAATGCTATGCAGAGTGTACTTTGTCTGAAAGTACACTTACCCTTTAACCGAACAGGATTCAGGTCACCGATTGTAAAGCCTTTTTTCCTCTTTCATTGTAATAATTGGCTAAACGACAGAGCAGCAAAAGGGTTAAAGGAACCTGTCATGAAAGAAAAATGTAAGCAGGAATTGCTGACCTCTTTTTCCCAAAAATGCTAGGTGCCTAGCCGCTTTGCTGGTGCTTTGGCTTCAAAACTTCTAAATCACTGACGTGGAACAAATATAGAGCTAAGGACTTTTGCTTGCTGTTTATTCTGCATCTGTGACACCAAAAGAATGAAGTCAGACGCAGCTAGCATTTTTGAAAGGAGGCCAGCAATGTTATCTCCTATTCTTCTCTTATGACACGTATACCATCTTTGACTGCTGTAATATCATCTTTGCCTATCAGATTATGTTTAACCCTTTTAATACAAATGCATTCATATGAAAATATTGTTGTATCATAGAAATCCCTAAATTCTGGATTTAATAAAATCCCAATCTATTGTAAATCTTTATCTCTCTTCTAAAACAGCAACGCTAAACACCTGCCAATACATGCAGCCTTATGTGTTTTGATTATATATTTACAGTAGGCAAAGCTTGCCACTCCTTGTTCATGTTATAGCTAGCTCTTCTCTTTTCCCGTAATTTTACCAGCAGGAATTCCTTGGGATAAACAAACCACAAAATACTTTTTATGATAGTTTTAAAGTGGTCCTGTCATGTTAAAAATAAAGGTACCAAAAGGTCCCTGCAAAAGAAGAGACTCACCTCTCTGGTGGCCTATGCCTCCTATCTCCGCTCCATCCGAGCACAGCAGCCTCGGCAAGTCTCCTCAGCATTCAATACTTTCAGTAG